TTTTTTTTTTTCTTCCATATGTTACTGACTTAGATACGATTAGGAAATATTCACAATCTCTTTGCAACAAAATTTATAATGGGATATGTAATCATAGATCAACATTAATATTATGTATTTGAATATGTACACGTCTCTTCTTTGCGCATACACACGCATGCCTGTCGAGACGTATGCGTGTGCATGCGTGATTGTTACGTACACGTAGAGTGCACGTGTATGTACACGAATGTGCACGTGTGAATTAATGTCGTACGAACACGTATTATATCGTATGTATGACCGTAATTTACACGCGTAAACCTTCTTCCAAATATGCAAGTATGTATATATGTATGTATATTTATATGTGTATGTGTGTGTATGTGTGTGCACGCGCGCGTATATATATGCGTACGTATATACGTACATACGTACGCACGCATACACGTACGAATATACGAGTGTATATACACGTGCACTCGCTCGTTCATTGTTATGCACGTATTACTCAATTATATAGGTATTAAACCGATAAACTAGTATATCATTTTCATAACTGTTTCATAGAAACGGCAACGCTAAATTCATTTTCAAAAACGTTAATTCGTGGATATCTGTATTCAATATTTATCTGTCCCTCTCTCTGTCCGTCTGTCCGTCTGTCTGTTCGTCTATCTATCCGTCCGTACGTTAAATGTGTGTGCGTGTATATGTATAATAGAGTCGTCAATTGGAACAAAGTCACGCGAGAGTGCTCGAAACAATTGCGACGATGAATAAGAAGAAGAAATGACAGGGACGATTCGCGCTACCGCAAAATTTGATCTCCATCTCTTCTGGATGATAATTTATACATTTGGGAGGCCTGCGACGATACAAACGTTCTCTTCTCGCGATACAAGCACCTGGTTCTGTCAGTGCCTCTATGGGCTCGATGCTCAATTGTTTACTTCCGCATGGACACAACGTGTCTACTACCAGCAAAATCAAGTTCGTATGGGGAATCTTTTGTACGCTGAATGGCCTGTAAAATATAAAATAAAAGCGAGGATAAGTTTATTAAATTTTTTAATTATCATCATTGCTGCAACTCGATTGAGATTTTTCATCATTAGCGTATGTAAATATACGTACCTTTCGCAACCGGTATCGTGACAATTGGTTAATTTCCCTTTCAACGGATTGCTTTGTCCGCTGGTATTCAATCTTTCGGGTTGTAAAATATAAAGATCCGTTTTTTTCTCGCATGATCTTAGCCTTGTTCGTAAATGATGCGTGGATGTAGCTCGTGTTGTACCAGGAGACACAGGGGTTGCAGCGGTAATAGTCAGAAGCCTTGGAAAATTTCCATCCGGTATTGGTTCGTCCGTCGCTTCTCCTCCTCCGTCTATCGCCAATGACTCGAATTCGTGAACTTGTCCGATCGAATCTTTTAAAAGTATATATTCTTATTTTTGTAACGATCGATATCTCAAAATCAAAATGTTATTATAAAAAGATCTTTCCATCCCCCCCCCTCTATTCTTTTTTCTCCTTACTAAATTTAAGAATAAATTATATAGACTATATGTATATTTAAAAAATATGTTTTCCTTTCAATCATAGAAAAGATATTTCTTACCATCCAGGGGTCTCACGGATTCACCGGCGAATGCGAATGCGACTTGCCATAAATTTTGAAAATTAAAGCCAAACGCCATGCTCCAAAGAAAATTTCCCAATATCGCGATCGTTTTCGCGACAGATTCCGAGAAAGTCGATGCGGATGATTGATAAGATTCTTGTGGACTACATATACCTTGATAATCGGTCACTGTTACTTTTCTGCAAATAAAAAGAAATACACATCCAAAATGTTTTTGTTCTTCTATGTTTTTTTATACGCTCGAACATAGATTTATACCTATAAATTCTGTCCTGAACTAGGGAATCCATTATAGTGCCGTCGATCTCGCCGAAAAATTTTCCGGTATGCTCGTGACGTTCGCTGATTATGATAAATCCGTTATTGTCCAAGATATAACAGTCTAACGCGTCGGAGGCGCAATTTTTCTTGCAATTCGTACCACTACACTGAAAGATGAATGGAAATTGTTTATTGAACAACTCGTTCGTAATTTATTTCGAAATAAATGAAAAGAAATTAGAAATAACGAATAGATAGGAAGACAGAAATTTACCGTCGAAGTAATGTTGACGAAACGAGAGGCAAGTGAAGAATGTTGAAACTGTAAACCTACGACAGCTGCTGGTGCTTTGTGTCCTGTCCCGATAAAAACCGCGTGAGTAGCGGTTACTAATGGGTTGGGGCTGTCCGCTATGTGAAAAACATTTGGATAAAATTGAAGAGAAGGAAAAAGATGATGGTAGTTAGAAATACAATTTTCAAAAATATTTTTACTTATTTTAAATAAAAATGATTAGACGAAGAATGGAACGTACCGGCGTTAAAAGGTACGCTGAAAACGAAACTATCCGGTTCTATGGAGTGTTGATCCACAGCGCGTTTATACCACGAGGAATCCATAGCTCTTGCATATTTCTCGGCAAATGGTCTGAATAAAGGAAATGTTTCTTTTTCGATATCGGGTCAAATAAAAGGTGTTAAAAGAAATAAAAACACGCGTAATTAATATAAATTAATAATAAGAAGATTCGAACGACGAGCACTTAATATTTACGATTCATCGGTGTTATCTTCGGTTTGTTGATGCTCGTGCCAACGAAATAAGCCGCTTCTAGTTGCGATGAAACTCCGTGTTACGCCAAATGTACTCGTTCCTTGGCTGTAAACATGAAACTAATTGTATGGAACGTAGTGAAGCAAATAATAAAATATGACACGACGTGAAGAAAATTTTTATATATATATATACATATTAATTATTTATATATATATATATATAAAAGAGCACAAGATATCGTTCTTTTCATCTATTGGACGATGAATATGAAGAAATCGCGTAACGATTCGATATTTTGTTTTAATATTTTCACATAATATTTTCGCAAAGTTAAAAAGAAAAAGAAAAAAAAGAAGAAGAAATGATAGATTGTAACAATACTCGTAGTATCTTTTTTTACAAATAGTTGAATTATTCGTCGATTTTATTGCTCGTTTATTGAAAAGAAAATTAGAAAGAAAAAATATTAAAAGAATAATAAGAATAAGGATATATCGGACGTTTAGGAAAGTTTTCATAGGTGTGTATATGTATTGTAACGATCAACGATTAAAACGACATTTAGGAAAAGATCACCGTGCAATATCGACGAGTGCGCTTATACAAATAATTGTGCATAATGGATTACCTGTGCAGTAGAGCCATCAGTATGGCAATAGGGCTAGCGGTGGAGACACACAATATAAAATGTAATAAAAATATGCGATAAAAGACAGCATTTTAAATGAAAGAGATTGGCCGTTGCGCATAGTACGTGTCGCGTTGAAACGAAAAACATATATTTCGGATATTAATTAAAAAGAGAGAGAGAGAGAGAAAGAGAAAGAGAGAGAAAGAATTTGTAAAAAAATTTATTTCGTCTCTTCTATTCTCTTCTTCCATTTCTTCGTATCTTATCTTTCGCTCCTCGTGATCGTCAGCCTATCCTCCTTCCTCCTTCTTGACTCGTTTCACGGATGACATTAATCTCACTCGTTCCCTCTCTCTTTTCTTTCGTCGCAATTTTTCGATTTCGATTTCGGCTCAACAAACGATGAATTTCGTTCGCCGACACGATTATGCGAATCAACGGCAGGGGAAAAGTAGAGGCAGCGGTTTTATCATATCCAATAATATACATATGTTATTCGACAATCAGTGCGTGAAAAAAAAACCGCGTGCTTGCTTGTGCATTGCGGTGCGTTGTCAATATGTATTTCCACTATATATATATATATATAAGTATCCGCGCATGGAGGACATGCATCCGCGATTTCCACTTACGCAAACCACTTACTTTTGATTTTCTTCTTTGTGCATCGCACCTCTTTTGTTGAAACCATCGGTGACCAACGCGTCCAACACTAGGGATTGCACTAATTTCTTATCACCTGCGAAATCATCGACGATAAATAACAGTTATTTTGAATCGTATACGATATTGCGCAATCATGGTATTGCTAAGCGACATACAGTAATAAGCATCTTTGTCGGGTTTGCTCGCTTGTTTGTGATGCGAGCTTGGACTCCTTGGCCTCAAGGACATCCATTTCCATCCCGGGCTCCGCGTTCGCGTCAAGAAATGTAGAACGCGTTCTTCCGGGGATGGAAACCATTTTTCGGAAGCCGAACTATATTCGCAATACACCCAGTCGGGATGTACCTTCCAATTGTTCCCCTTAAAATACTCGGTTACTGAAAACGTCAGACAAATCCGTTCGACTCGATTTTCCGATTGATCGATGGATACGGCGATCGTTTCACTTACCATTTATTATCGCATGCTTGATTTCTTGTTCGGCCAACAATTCAAACATACCGTAACCTTCGGGCAACGCTAATCCCAATGAAAATGGCGTTCCTTCTATCGATTTGTAAAAATAATTGTGACGTCTGATGGTGACACGTTTCTGCGTGCATGTACCGGAAAGAAAATGCATCTACGTTAAATAATTGATTTTTTCTTTCTAAAATGTAAAAACGTATCTGTATACGCGTTAAAAGATAAAGGAATTTAAAAAGGAGCGGGCTAAAAATATCGTTCTCACTCACCATGTTATCGTAGTGAATTTTGATCGCAAAATTAGTCTCTCCTTCTTTTTGATCGATCATATCGCGCCTCAACTGTACAATAGAAAAAAAAATAGAACAAATACATAAATATATACATGTATATAAAAAAAAAAA